CCCCCCCCCCGCTCTCGTCCTCGCGGTGGCGCCCATTAATCATTCCGCGAAATCCGAAATAACTCTGCTTTCGTCGCTGCTACTTCAGCGAGCGTATTTCGTGAATATTCCGCGTAATTTAATAATTTAGCTTCTCTGCAACCGTCGTCGCTTTCCTTCGCGTTTGGCAAAGCTCTGCATGGGTAACAACACGCAAGGCTACGTGCGAGTGTGGGAGCGAGGGAAAGCGCTGTGTGTAATTCGCGAGGAGAGAATTTTACAGCAAATATTGTTACAGGATTTACCTACTGTAACTGAGAAACAGATCGACGTTCTGCAGCAATTCATTATTCTTTCATTATCCTTTCATATGCTTATATTTTAAAAACCGAAATATATCATATTAAAACACTTGCTATGTTTCTGGTAAAATCTACCTAAAATCTATCATGTTCCTTGGAAAGACAGATTTTACCGACAATCTACTCTTGCATTACAAAAAGCATAGTAAAAGAATTTAGGGTAATTGTCCATATTACTGCGTTTATCTCTATTAGTGTACCTTTCTATTTAAATATAAAACGAAAACTATTACAAATAAATAGAAAAAGTATGTTTTAAAATTAAGTTAATGAAAAATACTTTTGCTATTTATTTTTTTGATTATGTTTTTTATGGCTTATTTAGAGGCACACTAACAGGAACAGACACAGCAATGTGGACAGTTATCCTACACGAAAATTAAGAAAAATGATATTCTCTCCGTGCATTGGCTTGCGTTTATTTCAATTGAACGCAATTACAATCAAACGCTTTGACGATGCTCACCAGGAGCAGCTCATCAAGGCACCAAAAGTTGCAGGCCGCGTCGTGGAATCTGGCGAGTCTCGTTATTGCGATTTCTGCGTCAGCCCGGAAGTCAGTCGGTTGCGTCGCGTCGCGGGTCGCCCGACCCCAAATCCGTCATCCGCACGGACCACCGACAACGCGCGCCTCGGGAAACCGACATGACTCTCTGTATACGTAATTAATAAATTGCGGTGGCGAACGCGCGCTATTTAGGCCGCCGCTCATTTCCATCCGGATCTCTCTCCGTTCCTCGCGCCGTTCTGTCGCGCGTTGTCGCTCTCCTCCTCCTCCTACTCGTCGTCGTCGTCGTCGTCGCGCGACGACGAGAGTTGCGCTTGCTTGCGTAATCACCTAGTTGTAATAAGTCGTCTCTTCTCCGTCGCGATCCAATCCCCGGGGCCCTGACGCCGAAGGCGCGTATAAATACGTCGCCTCGAAAATTCGCGCATCTGCGCGTCTTCGCGCGTAACGAGGCGATCATAAGACGTCGCTTCTCCTCGCGCCTCGACGTTCGAATCTTCCGAGTCGAGCGGTCAGAAATAATTTCGGGAGGCAATGAGGGAGAGAGGGGGAGAGGGCGCATCCCGATGTTAAACTCGCCGCGTTCTCGCCGTTATCGTTCTGGTGTTATCGACGTTACGCGGAATCGTTGCAACGTTCCACAACTCGCAACGGAGGTTCCGTATCCCGCTTTTAATCCTACGCGTACAATGTTAGTTCTATCAAACCCGAACGAATATTTGATCGCCCACTACTCTCTTGTAAAGGGTCTGGGAAAATGTGATACCTCTGTATACTCTGTGAATTCTATACTTTAACACGTTTGCTGATTATGCTAAATGTTTACGTCACGAACAATACTGCTTATGCGGAATATAACAGTTGGTACTCATATTAATGGAAATTATATTCAGCTATAAATTCAAGCAATACTTTTTCTTCTTCGTCTTTTCACACGATCTCGTTGGTTTTATTTTTTAATACTAAGGTATATGAACGAAAATTTTTACTACCAAAGTATCACTGAAGTATCAATTGCTAACTTAATTATCAATCAGTTATTAATTTTGCTCTTGTTGCATCAGAAATGAAGAAAGGTACGTCCACATTTTCGACCAATTCGTGAGTTGAAAGAGTATAAATTTTCCAACGAAATTATGATAGTTCAAAGTTCCCTTCAAATTTAGCAGACTTATACTTACTATATGCCCAAAAACTATGCTTGTACGCGGAGGATTAATTTTTTCGGGAAAAATTCGCAGCAGTTGTTGCAAGTAACAGAGAAGTGTCTACAAACGCGCCCTTAACCATTTTGCAATTTTGCAAAGGAGGGGAGTATCACTGAGAGATAAAAAAACGATCTCGCTTCACATCGTTAATGCGGTTGTGAATAACCCGCCTCGACGGCTTCGTTTTCTTCTTTTTTTTTCATCAGAAGTGTGCAAAGCGCGAGGATTGAATTCGTATCTGAATTAATGATAACGACGTCAATTGCAAACTCGCAGAGGAAAACCGGCGGCTTCCGACTCCGCCTTCGTCCTCTCGCCCTCTCGGTCGTTCACTCACTCGAGAGAATCGAAATTAAAATCGCAGTGCTTAACCCAATTCGCGGCGAATAGCGAGTAGGCGAACGGGGGCGTCCGATTTTTCAAGCCAGCGCGTCCGCAATTATCCGGGGCTTCTTTTCTTGCTTCGGCTTTTCCTTTAACGAGAAGAGAGAGAGGGAGAGGGGGAGAAAGAGAGAGAGAATCTCTCTCTTTCTCACTCCTCTTCTGTTAGGCTTCTTTGTATCAGCGCATGATCGCTTCTTAAATCCTTGACACACGCCGCACGTCTACGAGGGCCCGTTGACTTTTTCTGGACAGCGCGAATTTAATGGGTCACCACGTCCCTCCCCGTGTTGTGCTTTGCGTCACATACATCTACCCTCCGCGTTGTCTCTTCCCATTAGCGCCCTCGGCTCAACCGCACCATATCCTTCGCGTCGTCGTGCGGAAAGAAGTCGATGTCGTCATCTCGTGGGAAGAATAGACGGACGCGGGAATATTAATGAGTATTGCAATCTCGCGAAATCTCGTGAATCTCAAATCTTTGAATTGCGTAAGTTTGATTTGCTAGTTTGAGCTTGGTCCCGCTTCTATCTGCCAGTTGTTAATTATCTCGCGACATGCGACCGGGCGTGTGAAAAGGTGCGTGGGGAAAGAAGTTTGGTCGGATAAATCAATCTCTGGTGAGATATGAACCATTTCGAAATTCCGACTAGAATTATCAGAATGTTGTTTAAATTTATTAACCGGTAGATCTGAATAACCGAACTTTAATGACTTTCGCCGAGGATTTCTGAGTCGTTCATATTTCATCAGAAATCAGTAAAATATGAACAATTCAACCAAACTTTCTTTCCTACGTGTATCCTGCATTCAGAAGATCTGAAATTTTCCCGTGCTGCGAATTCAACGTTTGATAATTAATTCAATTACCAATCAGTCACTAATTTAATGCTTATTGCACCAGGAACAAAGAAAGATACGTCAACATTTACGATCAACCCCGAGTCGTGAGGGGATGAAAAGCCGTGCAAGAGCCATTGCGAAACTCGATGCAGAGAGAGGAAAGAGAAACGCGATTCTCCTAGGTTTAACCGTTTAAGGATTAACCGTTTGATCGCACGAAGGGGACGAATCTCACTCGGTGTTCAACTTTTTCCCCTCACTTTGACACCGGCTGAAAGAGTGTCGACGGCTTGGTTGCGTTCCGCGCGTGTCCCCGTCCAGGATTTTTACGTGCTGTGCTGCGTGCTCGCAGCCACGCGAGAAATGTCGGTGTAAAAGGAAGATGATTTTATAACGAGACTCTCTCGCCGGTCGGCTCGGCACGTGTAATATCGTTGTCATTGCGTCGCGTGTCCGTTGTGTACCTTTATATCGCGCCAATGTCGTCACTGACGGGCTAATCGCTCGTGCAGCGGGATTTCGCGGTGATTGATCGACACGTCCCCGTCGACACCCCGTGCCCGGGGTTGCAGGTCGAAGGGAAATGCAAATCCCGCGACCTCGCAGTCTCTCCGGCCGCGCGCAAAATTCCGCGTCGCGAAACGGAACAGGCCTTCCTCCCTCTCCTCTCCCCCTCCCCCTGCGTTTTTTGCGAACTCGTCGAAAATTTACGGCTGTGGACTCGGATAAAACGTTCGTTACTGTTATTGGCTCGCCAGACTGACCTTGACTTCGTGGACGACGTTACGACTTCCTAACGATTCGGCCGAGCTGAGAGGAGGGTGCCGCGGGAACAGAGGGGAGCGCGCGTGCGCTATTATATATGGAGCGTTTCGGGATCAGCAGATGTCCCTTTCGCGCTCGTACACGTCGGAAGACAAACTGAGCTGAATTATCGTTTCAATAATTCAAAGATATCCATAGTTACCGGAAATTACGTTAGGCGTGTTCGAAAACAACGTAGGGGTGCGGGCGAATTCCGGGCGTCCGATAGAATCTCATCACGCGGTTCACTTCAACCGCCGCACCTTGCCCTGACACGAATTTCATTTCATTCTCAAAAAATGTCTCGAACAATGTGATAATGATCGTAGTAATGATCTTGTTTTTCTTTCTGTTTCTTTCTCTTTTTTTCAACAAGAAGCATATAGCTTCGTTCAGCGGGAAATGGGCTTCGATTTCGTTGTGGAATTAGCAACCACAAAAGGCCGCTCATTGGTGGTGGTGGTCTGATAAAGTGATACCCAAGTAGAAAGAGCGACTTCTTTCTAGTCAGTAACCGGCCAGGAATTCTGCTCACTGGCTGGCTTCTGACCAGTGCCTTCATCAAACTGTCTCTTATTAAATTCTGTCACACAGTTCTCACTGTTTGATATTCTACAATGTAAAATATTACATTTTATTATTCAATATATTTCGTTACTAAATATTTTTTATTGCTCAGTATAAAAATAACGTGAAACTCAGCGTTTTTCCACGTGGAAATTCATTTTTTATCGAGATTGAGTATCTCGAGATGGTATAGCTTTATTTTTAATTAGCTTAAACCTGGCGGGTTATCCGGGTTATCACAAATCGTTAAGGGGATGAAATCAGGAGAAAAGGATGGAGTGTTCATGTTTCATGCGACAATTATTTTCCGCAGATTCCTAGAAGGTAATTAGGCAAAATTTCCAGATCGATCAAAGGATACATACAGGCACAGACAGACATTCTATTTTACATATATAGATTACCATTTTTTCTTTCTTAATTTTCGTGGTCAGTATTTTCCGAGTTTTTACTATACAATTTCCCAGTATTGATTTACCACCTTTATTGCTTGGTTTCTGATCAGTAATTGGCTGGTAGATACCGACCAATATTCTCCTCTGCTTAGTTTCTGAACACAGTTACTGTCTCAACCTAATCCTAACCAATAAAAACTGGCCAGTTTCTGGCTAGCTTTTCCTGGAGATTTTTCTACTTGGGTACCTTGTACAGCCTTGTGTAACAAATTTTTCCATCGTTACGACTTTCGTTGTTGAACGTCGCCGCAATTTGAATTACCTTTGTCCTTTCTTCTGGCGGAAACCTTCATCGATAATCGATGAACGCGCGCCATTAGCTACGATCAAACGAGCCGATGTGTATTCCCACAATAATAAAGAACAACGTGACGTGTTTTTGTGCCGTGTAAAATTTGTCCTCGCCCACGTTTCTCGCGTTACGCCGGCCGGATTGCCCGCGTTTGATCGTTCCCATCACTTCTGTCTCGATTAAGTCGCCCTCGTGCGCCCCGACAAAGGCGCGTCAATTACTTTCGGACTCTCATCGATAATTCATTGTTCTCTCCTCCTTCCCTCCCTCCCTCCCGCGTACCTATTTCTCTTTTTCTGTTCCACACACGTGTGTACGGCAATTGTTTCGCGATACCGAGCAAATGTAAACGCGTTTCTGATCGATCTACTGGTCGTACAAAAATGGAAACTGTGAATTCGTGAAATCGCGTCTAAATGTGATTTTAAACAGTTTGCCGGAATGTCGTTGGAGGTGCGCGGAGAAAAACACGAAGCCGGGCTCGAATCCAGCCTGTTCTTGCCTGTTCTCTTTTTAATGCATTCGAGATACTTTCCATAGCAGTTATTCGGTAATATTTTCAACGTGGGATCGCGACGAAACGGAATCTTTTGCATGCGACGTGGGAGGCTTCTCCCCGAGCTTTACGCTTCCAAATGCTTCGAGTGCTTCTCGGTGCTAAGAGGAAAGCAAACGGAAGGCATTTGTTGTCAATTAGAGCGGAGAAACGTGCGGATTGACGCGGCGATATAACGCGCGCGGCCAGCAGCAGGCTCGTTCCCGCTGGCGGATAACAATCTTAACGGTATGAGTGGCACCGTGTGCCTCCGTGCTTAACCGCGCTCGTAAAAGTTACGAGCGGCGTATTAACGATCAATTTCGCCTCGAGACAACGCGGATGCGTCGCTGTGGACGGACAAATCGCTGCGTCGTCGTCGGCGGCGGCAGCGGCTCTGGTGGGCACCGAGTCTGCGATGGATCGCAAAATGCAACGTGAAATACACGCGGGCTTTTCATGTGTGTGTGTGTGTGTGTGTGTGTGCGTATAAGTGTGGGCAAAGTATTAGACTCGCACTCGTAATTCGACTACCATCAACGAGGAGTTCACCGCGCGTTGCGTAATACACGATTTGCCTTGGCACCGTGCGGATTCTTTGGCGCAGTCGCATTTGCGGTAGATTGTTTCGCCTCTGCAGCCGCTTTAGCGCTTAATGAAACGTCGCACGCACAGCGCAAATTCGCGGAAACAATGTGAGTCGAGAGAAAGAGAAAGACAGAATCGTGCTCCGGGCGGAATAATATTCTCGTCCTCGGAGCATAGTCTTGGAATATCCTGAGGAAACATTCTGTAATGTGCTTTCGCACTCGCGTACAGATACAGTTGGCGGGATATTTTCGGAATGCACGACTCTCGTGTGTAATACCAGAGCACTTGCTACTCGGGCATTTTCGTTTCTCTCGACCGAGATATTCTTTGATACATTTCGACAAGTGTTTCCGAAGTGGACGGAGAGAAATAGAGAGAGAGAGAGAGAGAGAGAGAAAACGTAATTTATTATTAGATGCTTCCGGGACTGATATTTGCTGCCAAAGGTGTACATATTCAGCAAATTTTTTTTACGTGCAATTTTGAGAGCAAAAACCAAACGGATACATGCAGCGTTTGAAATTAAACATCCTCAAATGTGTCGGACCATGAGAGTCAGGGCGAACAGATGCATAAATTGAGATAATCGTGCCGCTATGACGTAGAGAAAGATCATAAAAATTTGAGGGACAAGGACAGAGACTATCGCGCTCGAGAATAAGCAAAAATAGCAGACATGTACGATTTGCATGATTTGAAATCGAAGGTCTCCTCGAGCCAAAGTATGAGATGCAAAAGTCAACATAAATAGGTGCATAAATATTGAGGTGATTAGACATCATAATAATGCAACAGATCATAAAAGTTCAAGAGAGAAACAGAGAGAGACTATTACGTTCGAAAATAATCTTCTAAAATGATCTCGGTTGTCACATAGAATTTTCTTTAAGTAAGTAATCTCGTTATCCTGGAGAAGCATTCTCTCTCTCTCTCTCTCTCTTTCTCTGTTTTTCTTTTTCCGAGGTATTTTCATCTAGCGTTAGCGCTCGGCAAAAGATACGGATCGCTGTTCGCATTTATCCTCAACCGCTACAGCTGTGAGACGTGACTGGCGTTTTCATAAACGATGGTACAGCTCGTGATAACTATACGTCCCGCGTTGTACGAGGATCCGTGCCGTTTGTCTTGCCGGGAGCTGCGATACATCGCGTCGGCCGATATATCGCGCTCGCACGATGGAAGGCTGGCTTCGTAAACATTTGACGCAATCCCGACATCGTCTTTACATATGTCGAACACTTCATTGACGCACTGCTCGCTTTTGCCGCAGTGACGTAATCCGAGTCGCGTCGTTTCTCAATGACACGGCGAAGTCATGGCGCGAGGATGAAAATCGAAATCAGCCACGGGAAAGGGTCCTCACTGTCTTCACGGAATTGCGATAATCCGCTGTCAAAACGTGTCCTTCGTCCAGATCGAATCTCTGTTCTTGATTTCGCGGTAACACAAATTACGCATCGTTGTGTCTGATCTCCCACGGCGGAACGAGATATCTCGCACCTCAGTGTGATGTAACTTTGCGGCATGAACTCTTTGCAATCGTAATAATTTGAACTCAGTCTCTACCGGTCAGCTCGTTCTAAATTTTTCAATCTGTTTTTTGTACAGAATATTAGAAAGAAATGGACTTTTGAGGTTTTGGGGACTTTTCCGTAAGATTTTTTGTCGTGATTTTCCGTCAATAATGTAATTACATGATCCTCATTATATCATCTCAAAGCAAGTAATTAAGTTCCTGATTAATAGCCATTACTTGAAACTTATGTAAGATATTCGGATCTGAATTTAGAATTACGTGAGAGTTTTTGTTGCAATTTTGTTGCAATTTTCACTACAGTATTTTCTCTGTATACAGGTCTGAGAGTCACACGTGGGATAAGTTTCAAGTGATGATTATTAGTGTAAAACGCTTAATGTTCTTTCGACCTCGCAAGCAACTGAGAGCAGACATACGAGTGCAAAGAATGAATTTTGTGCCGCATAATTGGCGAATTTCTTCGCGTCTTTTCGCAAATTTTTCTAAAACAAACCGCGTGTTTTGTCGTCGTGTGCTATTATCATGGAGCGAATTTTGTTCTTTCTCTTGTGTCCGCCCAGTCCTCCGTGATTTTCACTCGAGGAAAATATCCGGAACGCCATTGCGAGCTCTTGTATTTTTTTTCGCGTACTCTTACTCGTTTGCATACCGGTTAGCCTTGGTAAAGTTCGTTGCTTTGCGTGCACAATGCTCGGCCTCCGTAGGCTGCGGAATTTATTAAATGTCACAGATCGCCCGCATAATTTTCCACGGAAAGTTACCGGAAGGTTTTCGAATCGTTTACACACACCGAGAGAAAAATATGGTCGATCCAACTAAAATTATAGTTATTTTTCGCCTCAGCCATATTTTTTGGTTGTTCTAATACGGAAATGATAGTGATGACACGCACAGATCATTGTCGTTAACATTACAGTAGAATTTAATAAAAGAAGTGGTTTCTTTGATTCATAATTTATAATAATTATTTCTCTGTGTGATTATTGTTACAGATACTGAACATTTTTTTTCTTATTGTACTGACGCGTTGCTGAATCGGAGAGAGCGTGGTTCAGTAATGTGATTAAGTAACAAAATTCTCCATTTCTACATACACATGAATAATAATCGCGATATATGTATACATTTATTTATTTATTTTTACTTATATATTTGTATCGCGGCTTGGTCGAGAACACGTGGAATAGAAAGTTGACTAATCACGCCTGCCGATTTAATTGGATTTATCCTTCGCTTTGAAAGGTAGGAGGGGAAGGAGAAGTGAGAGAATCTCAGGAATGTAAATTTAAATCAGCAAATTATACCGCGGCTTCTTATAGATTGATAATTTACAAATTGTTGTTCCCGCCTGTGAGCGGGACCTCCTGGCGATTTCATTATAATGTTGACAACGATCGAGCGTGTGAGCGATCGACGGCCATCACAAAGGAAAAGGACGAAAGGTCGAGGAACATTACGACGGAGTGATTTATCGCGGCGCGAAGTATGTTTCGAAACGGCCGTTTGGTCTTCTCTTTCCCTTTTTTTTTATACCGGCGTTACATTGTGGATGCGCGCGCGCGATTGCATCGGTGATTTGCAAAAATGTGACGCTCCCATTAGTAAATCAATCTCGACGCGCAGCGTGCGCGCGCGATGCGGTTTCAGTTTAATATTTATCCACGTGCGCACACGCGGAGCGCGTGTAGCTTGTGGGAAAATATTTTCGATTTGATGTTTTGTTCGTCGTTGCCTTGATCGCAATAACAGGAAATCGCTAGTTTTTCTCTCTCCCTCTCTCTCTCTCTCTCTTTGGCTTATCGTGCGGACTTATTTTCGATTTCTTCGGAAATATTTACGATTACCGGGAAAACGAGTTTGGGTAGCGAGCGTTCTCTCGTCTTCTAAGAATAAAGCACATGTACGCGTGCGCGCGCGCACACGCACATACACGTATGGACACTGGCGGACGTGTATTCTCAAGGATCAATGCAATAACACTATTGCCAATGTGATGCCGGGATTCCCAACTCTTTCCGCCGGCGAGCCTCCATCATATCTCGATTTCACATTCGATTGAATCGCGCCGTTCGCCTCGATAAGTCGCCGTCTCGATCCTAGCAGCGCTTCAAGCGATTTCTATAATTAGAATTTATCGTAGAGAGAGAAAGAGAGAGAGAGAGAGAGAGAGAGAGAGAGAGAGAAAGGTATATATATCTTCTCGTGCCTGGGAAATTAACTTTATTAATCGTTGCCGTTTGCTAAAGGGAGTATTGTTAGATATTGTTGAATGATTCTATTTTGTACGTTATTATTTCATAGATATATTATTATTATTATGTTATTATTATTATGTTATCATTATTATCATTATTCTGTGTATTATTTTTACAAGTGTTAACTTGTTCGCAAGAGGAGACGAGCAAATTTTTTCGCATTTTCTTCCTTCTTTTTTTTCGCATGAAACGAGCGCCGACGATGTTTCCCTTCGTTTCTCGCCCGGCAACGCTAGGGTTATTCGAGCGTTTTAATACCTCAATAGGTATCACGCATCGTTGTCTCGAGAGCTCGTCATTGTAATCTTGTGCAAACGACGCCACGTCTGGATACCAGATGCGACAATGGATACCGGGCCGGCGTTGCAATTATGTAGTGGCACTTCGCGATCGTTTTATCTGTCGTTAGAGCGGTCGTTCCACGGCTATATATGGTGTTTGCTGACGTCAGTAATTTTCAAACGTCATCTCATTAAGCCCCGGATAGTTCTCTCTCTCTCTCTCTCTCTCTCTCTCTCTCTCTCTCTCTTTACACTTCGGCAAACGCTGCGAATAATTCGCGAGAGAGGAACGAACGAAAGGTCCAGGGAGAACGAGAGAGAGAGAAAGAGAGTGAGACACGAAGTGTGTGCCCCGAATGAAAATCCGAATGACGCGAGTCGGTCGTGTGTTCTCCTCTTTGTTTCTCGTTTTTTCCCTCTCTTTCGCTTTCAAAAGTTGTTTCTGCAGCACGTCAACGCGGCTGTCTGTTGTCGAGCTCGCATGTCCTTTGCCTGTGCGAATCCTTGCGCCGCCGCCGGTCGCACCGCGCCGCGAGCGAACACGACGAATAGAGTCATATAGGCTCGATAGGCAGATATACGTATAGAGCTCGATGGCTATTAGTTTGAGTGGTGTGTATGTACTTAAATGCTTTGACTTTTCGAGGACAATCGCTCAATGACGAAGCACTTCATTGAGCTCCGCCTCGTCGTTGTAGATCGCTCGCGCGTGCATATTTGTCTTCAATCTGTGCACGTCTCTCTCTCTCTTTCTCTTTCTCTCTCACACACTCTCATCGACCCGTTCGACTCTTTTTTCGACGGCGATTCTCTCGATGGAATGCAAATTCGATGGTAACCGCCGAGACTGGCATTTTCTCGTCGCAAAGTGCAATTGAGATCACTCAGAGCGTGTAAACTTTCATCTTTCTCAATTGTTGAACGAGACGTCTCTTTTAGGGACTAAGGCCCTTATTCTGAATTCCCTTTTATCGATCAAGTGCCTCAAAATACGACTGAGAGCTGATCAAGAGGCTGACGGGCCGCATTAACAGACACTTTTATCGACAAAAGAGAGTTCAGAATCGGGGACTGGGCATTCGCGATTAATACCTTAAATAATTACGAAGAGTATATTTCTCAATACAAAAACAAAGAGAAAAAGAAAACACGTGCCATATCGGGGGATAAAAGTGCAAAGCGCATCCGTAGCCGCGTGGTAAAATAGAGATAGCGAAATCAGAGAGCGCGATGCACGTAAAAAGAGTGTAAAAAGATTCGCGAGGAGAAATCTTGAAATTTTCATATTTAAGAAGCGATATTTACATTAGCCTTGTCGACCCCTTGTGTTCTCCGCGCGTCTCGTATTATTTATGAGCGCAGAGCTCGAGAGATTTCGGCTTCCGCTTGATGAAACGATCGTCCCGGAAGTTTAGAGGGGCTCGTCGGGGGAGAACCGCGTCTGTCTCCCTCAACGACGGGGTTGAATTAGATTTGATCCGAAGATGCGAGCTCGTCTTTATCTTGTAACGCTTAGATTTGAATTAATGACAATCCACGGGCTAAACGGATGGGGGAGCCGCGACAATCCCTAGAGTGTGTCGCTTAAAGCTCCATCTACAATGAGACTGACAATAGGATGTGAGCAGTAAGCAAGTTTACCAACCATAGTCGATTATTCTTGTGATAATCGACTGTGGTTGGCCAATTTGTTTCCTGTTTACATCTTACTACTTACTGCCAATCCCATTGTAGATGGCTTTTCATAATTTCAGACTTATTTTGCTCACTTCTCTTTCCAACCAGCGCGCTATTACATGATATCGTTTTCAGCGCATCCGTCTCTTTCATGCACGTATCTACGAAAATATAGAATGGGGAAATCGGAGAAAATTGGGAAATCGATTCTCTGTGACAGATTCGCAATGACCATCGCGCTTTTTGTCTGCGATTTTTACATGCAATTTCAATTCTCAGAGCTGGTCTCTTTTAGCGGACAATCGTAAGAGAACATTTTCTTTGGAGAAAGCTTGATTGAAAATGTAGACACGTATACACACACACACACACACACACACACACAATTATACATGCACGTAGAGTGTCGGGCATTAATCTCTTGCAATCTCTTGTCTCTTTCTCTCCAAATCTTTCATAAAATATTACTTTTTATCTTGTCTAACTCATCTCAAATCTTTCTTCGCATTGCCTCACTATCTCTTTTCCTAACTCTATAAAAAAGATTCTTTTGTACTCTGACAAATATTTATATGTCTAATATTATCTTGCTCTCTTCCACAAAACACACAACCTATCCATTAAGCTAATTATTTATCGATGTACAATTAATCGCGTCAAAGTTTTGAGTGACGAATAATTAATTCCGTCAATTGATGAAACTTTTTGCGATTTTGCATATGACGGTTCACTAATTTGACCATCGATTTGCCGATTACTTTAGTTAGAGTCAATCGATCATTGTCCAACGCTGCGCGTACACACCGGCGCATTCGCTTTCGCAGATGCGCCTCGAAACTTCTCAATTTTCGTCATTAAATAATTCGCTGATTTAGTTTCGGTAAAAGGAACTAAATCATATTTCCTTAGGAAAAAGCGCGAGATAAACAAGGCGTATGCACACTTCTCTTGACCTCACATCTCGATTTCGTGCGTCTTTGAGCGCGAGGAGCTGCACTGGGGGTCTCTTGTGCAATTTATCTCGATGTCGGTAATTTTCCGCTTTCTAAAAGACGACGCCGCGACGACAGGTGGAGGAATCTAGTCGAAATACTATGACCGTTTTTTTGTCCCGTTATCTCTGCTCTTTCCCTTTTCTTTCTCCTTTTCTCTTATCCCGACGAATCTCATAGGGACCCACATTGTTGCGGTCGTCCCTTCTTTCGGTCCTTCCTCTCCATCGGCCGTCCTTACGCTCGTTATATGTTAAGTAATCAGACAATTTTGAAGGGAAAGAAGGAGGCGCTTCTCTCTCTCTTTCTCTCCCCCTCCCACTCTACTTTTGCGCTTCTAATGCGACGAGAGATTCCGAGAGTTGCGACGGAGTACAGTTTCGAGTTTTATTCGCGCGGCATGAGGACCTTCGACGTGTGAGATGACAATCATTCATTCGTTTGCGATCGAGAACCGAGAATACGCTCGATGTTGGATAGTAGCAGAACGAGACCCGAGTTGCGTTATTGTGAATAGAAATGGCGGAACGCTTGGAATTCATTGCTCTCGCGGGTGTTAGTGTAAAAATGTAAAATATATGTAGAGCAAACTCCAAGGGTGTGAGAGTCACGAAAGCTTTATAACCAGCAGGAGCGCGGGAGGTAACGTCGCAGAGGTGTGCAACGCGTCAAGAGAACTTCCAGGCAGTTCTCGACCTTCGTCCGGGGTCCTTCCACGTTCTGCTAAGACTGACATTGGTGCATCTCGGAAATACGTATAATCCGAGGCAAAAACGAAGGGAAGGGGGATGGAAAGGGGAGACTACCGTGCGCGATCAATTCTCCCGCGCGATTTCTCGCACGAGGTTCGCGTGTTTCGGCTCGTCGGGTGTAAATAATTCGGTTACAGGCTCGGCAAACATTTAATCGGACCCACGGTACACACAGCACAACCGCAGTGTGCCACTTGGTTACGCTTTTGCACGCTTTTGCGGCGCGCGCTCGTGTGCGTGCGTGTGAGCGCACACATACGCACACACGCGACCGAGCGTTCATAATTCGCGCGTGTATTCTGTCATCACCCGCGGGACTTCGGATGCGATGAGTGAAACGTGCACGATGTGATGAACAACACACACCGGGGGCGAAAGAGAGAGAGAGAGAGAGAGAGAGAGAGAGAGAGAGAGAGGAAAGGGAAACGCGGAGGACCGCCACGTCGCCGACGAAATTGCGGATTCGCGCGCGAGAAATAACGCACGACGCGAAAATGTCCGCGACGTGGCGGAACGATATTCCCGCTGTTTTACGTCGCGTCAATCAGCGCCGAGTGAAATGGCCCAGATAAGCCTGCGCCCGTTGCAAATTTTATTTTCGGCCCTTTGTTCCCCACCATGCTCGCCCCCGTTCCCGCTTTGCTGACGTTTTTATCCGATGCGTGACACGTTTGGGAATTGTTCGTTTCGTAAGTTAATCGCACTGAAAGGGGGGAGTGAGGAGGGACGGGTGGGGAGTAAACAGTCGACGTTAACTGGGCCATTGAAATAACACTGCATACGTTTCCCGCGGGTCACGACCGGCGTCGCTTATTCGCAAATTGAAACTCAAAAATACTATGCGCAAGGGAAAAAGAGAGGGGGATGGGGGATTTACAGCGACTCTAGATTTCGCAATAATAAATTGAGAGAAAAAATAGTGCAAAGAGAACACGGTTTATTTTTTAATCATTTCGGAGTGTTACGAAGAAAAAGGACAAA